GCTGCACAATACGACAGGGGCTTACAAACTTGCGAACACTTTGCGGAGAACACTAACAAAATCAAATGGAACATTAGACACAATGATGAAGGACAATGTCCAACGCAAGGACTGCGACAAACAAGAAAGAAGCTCTCCACCAGTATACATAAACACAAGCTCGATACTAAGAGACACAATTAATTTTTTATCCTTTCCAGGCACAAATGTCAAAATGGGTTTGACTGGATCAATTTCGCGTACTGGCTGGAGTGAGAACAAAGAGCGTAAATTTATGGGAGCCAAATAGCTCCACCAAAGACGCTGTCAACAAACATATCGAAATGAATTTTATTGATCAACCACTAAGAGCAAGAGAAGGCCAGAATCGCGAGGCTCTGAGCTGTAAGAGCAACCGAAAAAGAAACTCATAAGAGAAGCAGGAAAACCTCATTCAAGCGGACACACTAATCTGATTGGAAGCGGTACCCGGCCAATAAACTCAAGTGCCAAATTAACCAGGGACACTAACCATCACAGTGGAGAAAAAAGGACGGCGGTCCTAACCAATCTCGGGAAGATCAGATTATAACGCAAAGCAAAAAGGGAAGAAGGCCAAGTGAAGTCAAGGAGAAAACTGTTAAGAATAGAAGGATTTTGGATAACAAATCAACTCAAAGGAACGCAGACCGCAAAACAAAAACGATAACAAGTGATCACGCAAAACGCCGTCAGTCAAACAGCCGGTTGCGTTAGAGGATAACAGATAATTCTTAATTACAATAAAAACGCACGCAGGCAAACAAGAAGTACGCAACTAAGTGCGCACTGATGACGTCTCCTCGTATGATGACGAAATGTTTGCAAGTCAATTGTCAAACTAGGTGAACTCATCAACAACAATCTGATCAGTAACCAATAATCTCACCCGAGCTACCAATATTGCAACACATCACCGGTTGAAGCCATTATGTCATCAGCTTCACGGAGATTGTTATTGCATAAGTTATTCACCCATGCTCTTTCAAACTGCGGTATTCGAATCCAGAAACTGAGTCTGAAAACTGCCAGGAAAATTGATAAATGAATTAAAATTTGTGCCAAAAAAGTATGAAGTCGATGTATCAATAAGTAGTTCGTCAGCTGAAATAAATATTCGGATTAGGAGAGTTACCTTTTGACGGCTTTGTTTGTATTAAGATGTGTTTTATATCAGAATATGCAGAATATGCGGAGAATATTGTTGTAAGCAAAAAATATGTGATTTTCCGTTCTTGATACTTGTATCCACCAGCCATCTAGTCATTACAACCTGGATGTTCTTATTTCACCCAACAGAAATTTTTGTGCCCTTCGATGTTTTTTTTCATACCGATATCTTGCAAAATTTTCAATCGAACACGCCTCCCATCAAAGTGCTGCTTCGCGTCTTTGAGTTTCCTTCCGTATCCTTCTTTCAATTCGTTCATTCTTTTAGAGTGGTCACAAACGCAATCACGTATCGTCGGAAAAAATAAACCAGGCTTTTTCACATTGGCAGAGATCCTTTTCCGGTTGCTGTGTGATGAGTTTAGTTCATACAAGTATCACAAACCGTGCGCACCAAAAACCAGAGCATTGCGGTTATAAGCTCGTCCGGACGAGTTTGGTTTTAAAGGACAGAAAGGTGAAAAAAAACTCGGTATCGTTCTAACAGCCTCAGAATGTATGATGGATCGTCACATTTACGCTTCAAAGCAGATTGGAAATCGCTACCGAAGCTCCATGCGGTGGACCCTTTCGCCCTTTATTCAGCGTTCTGTCTTGGCTTGGATGAAATTTCCACATTTCAAGTCCTTACGTTTAGAAGACCACTGAGAATTTTAGCCAGACTTGTCTCGAGTTATACGTGTACCACACAGCAGACTTAGGAGCTTGCGTTCTAAAAATCCTCTCATGTTCCAGAAAAAAACTATGTTGTCACTGGCTTTCGGTATTTTATGCAGGTTATGCGTATACCAACTTCTGTTTCACAGCGGACGACCTGAGTGGCCTTTGTTGTCACTGGGCTTCCATGAGTTGAGCTACTTAAACATGATCAGTAGTGCAAAATCGATGAGAGTTATATTCCTACACTTGCCCTCAACTGGCCAACTGTAGACGGATTTAGGCTACGGTGAAATGTTGAACAGCTAGGCATCCTAAAACTATTAGTTGGCCTTGCACAATGCTAGGTGAAATCTATTTCTCATTTCCTGCCAGTTCAACCGTGAATCAAGCTAACAACTGCGTGCTTAACCCCAGCTCGCACAAAATGGTTCACCATGATTTGGCTCCACTGTATCAAACACGACCTTCTAGGGGGGTTGGGGTTGGAAATAACCGTTCCCCATCAATGAAACACCTTCGAGGAGATTTGCTCAGAACAAGCTGTATTTTGTACGTTGTTCATTGGGGTTATTACAGTGAATTTGCATCCGGGCGTTATTGAGCGGCTTTCGTAAGAGAAGGATAGAAAAGTCCATTTCGCCTGGATTTAACGCCTGTCCGTGATTTGCCCATACTAGTTCAATATAGTGAATGTACCCAAGATGTACCAACAACCTTGTAAGTAATGTAGCATAAAAGTAACAATTGCGATAGTTTGAATAGCGCTTCAGCTAAAACCTGGGGTGGCATCTTTTCAGCACACGCACTTTACGATTCGGTTTGTCTGGGAAGACTTCCAGTCCATCTGTAAGCCTTCAAAAAGTAAATTTGCGGTGTTTTCCGCTTAGCACCCTAAAATCCACATAAGGGCCATCGTTTGTGGCCATTAGATGAATCTGTAACCTTCAAGTGGAACTTCTTTTGAGAAGTAATCCTCTCAGAAAAGTAAAGCAGTCCACAAGCCGCATGGGCTTGTAAGGAATCGTCGCTCGAGGGTCTATTCAACAGCGGATTACGTGACGCGAACCGTAACTGAAGGATGGTGGCAATGAATCCTGTTTGGGCGTGCGATAATTACACTGTTGACCAGCCACTAGTGGTATGAGGCTTACCTACTGACAGAAATACAGAGGATTCACACAACCCCACAGACACGTGAGATGCGGACTGCAGATAAGTCGCAAAATGAATGCGCTGCGCTTTCTAAACATATACGGACCCCAGTTGAAGGATACTGATGCCTGCTATAACTGTTCAAAAGCAAAACATTCGCAATTTTCATAAAGGTAACTTCTGAAAACTCTTCGACAGCCCACGACCGGTTTCGCCCTTCTTGGAGCTCATCAGGTAGGCGCAGTCCCCGAGTTTCCGCCAACCTTGTTCTACTTGAACCCAAATTGGACTGTTTTCGAGAAATACACTCATTTTCAAATGAATTTGGTTTTCACGAGAGACTCAACTGAATTTATCGTTTATGATATTCGATACCTCGAATATCGTGCCAACTGAATCATGAGGCGGCCTGTGTGCAGCACATTCAGTTGGAGAATATCATAAACGAAAGATTCAGTTGAGGCTCTCGTGCAAACAAGATTGGTTTGCAAACGAGTGTATTTTTCGAAAACATTCGCCGTTTAAAACTCATTAAACTCATCCGCGTTTTAATGTCCAGCTGGCTACCTTGGAATGCAACCGTTGATACCAAAATCACATATTCGTCACAGATACCCATCAACACATCGGTTATAGTGCATTGTGTGTACAGTTTCTTGGGTTCACCGCTTGAACAAGAAGACTCATTGCAAGTCGGACAGGCCTCGGATACAACTGGAATAAATTGCATAGCAGCTCGCGTTTGATTGGTTCCCCATTACAAACGCTTCGTGATCTGTGGCTCGTTATTCCTCGAATTTTTCCGTATGGAACGGTAATTTAGCTTGAAAGCTTCAAACAGGAGTTAGGTTAATCATCCCGCTGAAGAGAGTGTTGTCAATCTTTGTACGTGATGTGGGTCGAAACGGTCAGATATAACCGCAGAATAACTAGCACAGAAGATTTAAGACGCGAATCCAGCCCAACTTCGTAAAAAAAAACTCCGCACGTCTGAGATAGTAATATGATAAAACTACACGCTGCACTGCATCTCTGCGCTCCAGATGCACCGAAATTCGCTTCCACATACGACAGTTCGAACACTTACCGGCTAGAAAAAAAAAAAAACTCCGCACGTCTGAGATAGTAATATGATAAAACTACACGCTGCACTGCATCTCTGCGCTCCAGATGCACCGAAATTCACTTCCACATACGACAGTTCGAACACTTACCGGCATAGAAAAAAAACAAATGGTTACATTGTCACAAAACAAAGAATATTTGGCCCCTGGGGAGGGGAACTGTGCAACCAACCCTTGCGTCACTCGTCAAACTCCGCTTCGATATTTAACCCCCCAATCGACTTGAGCTGATTAGAATCCAGATGTACACAAAGATGAAGGGTGGCCAGATGCTCAGTGGATTTATTTGCACGTGGTAGCTGCATGGACTATCCGATATTCATATGAACGTTTTTCCCCTTAACGTCATACACAATCAGACGCAGCTCCTTTTCCAATTCAATTTTGATTCCCTAATAAAAAGAACAGCGAAAAATGCCATCCTTGCGTGGAAAGGGCGTTGCTGTCACACCTTACCGGAAAGTGGATGGTATTACTGAAGTGTGGGTTGTTTTCCTGCAAAATTCCTCATATCGAACAGGATTATCGCAGCAGAGCTCGCAGAAGATAGCTAACTTTTAGCGCGATGGGCGGCTGATGGGCCGTACACTGGCAGACGCTCAAAGACGTTTATGGGGAATACATGTTGATTTCCCGGGGGCATTCGCTCTCGAGTAATCATGCACTATAGAACTAATAGCATACGCCTCTCGTCGCCTTGATTCAAACCACCTCATTGACTTAGCCTTTAAGAGTCTGCAGATAGAGCACTTGTCCCTTATTATGATTATGTAGTCACCTAAGTAAAGACTGCAATACGGTCGAACTGCCCGCTCCATGTTCCAGTCCAAACTCGTTTCCGTAGAAGAGGCAAAGAAAACGCATTTATCACGTGGTATTTTTTATCACACAAGGTACATGACAGTGGTAATACGAAACCAAACGCGTCACCGGAACAACGTCGGGTCTAGTTAACTGGACAGAAGACTAACACACGAATTGGGGAATGAAAGAACCGACACAGTCAAGGAGGCCATTCGTTAGGAACGGATGGTGCACGAAGTTCAGTAGGTAGGGGCCGATGGGATAACCGCATTATCCAGTCAAGGACACGCATTTGAATACGAATTTGATGAGAGTTGGTTGTACGAATAAAAAGGGGGCAACCGATTTGCTCCAGGGCGGATTGTTGTTCCATCACCCGACCGTCCAAGGAATGCACAATGTGAGTGGTCAGACTACGCATTGAGTCCATCTGTCGTTTGGTCAAACGCTGTGAATGGGATCGAGAGAAATTAGGTGGACACAGCAGTTTACTAATTCCAGTAAAACTTGGAATGAGATGATTGCATCCGAAAATTTCCCACAACTAAAGATATTACTAGCTCATTAAGACTTGACACAGTATGTACCATTCTGACGAAAAACTGTTAATCAAAGGTACAGCAGTAAAATCATCTTTGGAGCATCAACAAGTGTAATCCACTGAAGTGAGGTCATACACGCCTTTATTCAAAGTAACGATTAACGTCAGGGATCCTAGTTTATATGTACACGAGAGTTATGGGAATAAGACCAACGAAGATTTGCTCTTGTTCCCTGCAGCCCCCACTACTTCAGCCAGCAGTGTTTTATTCGGTTCAGGTGAGATACTATTCCGTAAAAGATGATATGCAACTCGGAGAAAGCAGGAAACAGCCCTGTAGAGTTACCAGGAGCAGTCGAAAAGAAGGGGATGGGTTCGAACCATAGAGGTGGGATTGAACTTCCTCCAAATCGAGGATTATTGGAAGGAAAAAACGTCAGTTGACGTTCTCGGACCAATCCACACAACTCCATGAACACCAACACGGTTTTCAGCAGTCTAGTGCATTCGGGGTCGGTTTCCAGAACTGCACCTTAGCCGTTCACCTCACCACACCAGAGCCGATAACTTCAGAAGGCGTGCAATAAAGAACAAGGAGGTTCTGGTCTAGTTCGAACCAGAGCAGTGGACAACGGCGATGTGTCACTTATGCCCTGCGTCAGTCACCATGCGGAGCGCCATTGATATGGGTAAGGGAGGAAGGGAGAAATCACAGGCAACAACCTCTGGAGTCTAGTAGGAGTTCCAGGCCACTGCGCTCACCCACTTTGCCTCTGAGCCCTAGAATCGTGGGTGCGTGACGAGACTTGAGCAGAATACCATTCAACCGCCCTAGAAGGAAAACCGACTACAGATGCTGATTCGTTCAATATTGGCTTCTCCAGCCTGAATGTACGAACATTCTCCGCCGCGTTGAGCGACAAAAAGAAATCACGTCCATTTTTTGTGAGGCGGTAGTTGAAGGTGAACAGACCCTGAATAAGATTATTGCCTGCATGCATCACAGTCCTTAACACGGAAACCACCTGACTACCAGATGTTGAATCTTCACTGGCTGTTAATACGCAGACTAACCATATTCAGGTAACTGTTGGATGAATGACACTGTCTTTCCCGAAGAACTCAAGGCATGCGACAACTAACTTCGAGGTATGGTATTTCGCCAGGAGGTACACCCCAAAGTCGTATATCTCCTCTGTCGTCTGATACGGGCTCTCGGAAAACGAGGGGATCCTGTGTTCTGATTGTGAGCAGATGCTGAAATCTAGAATCGTCCACTGAAAGTCCGGCTGCAGCCGTCCATTATTCGCCGGCTGAGACCTCCTCGTAGTCCCGCAGAATCCTATGGTTCACGAACAGTCTACATTTTGAGACTGTCCGGGACACTTGCTGCTATCTTTCCGGCAGGCTGTGCGCATGCAAACCAAACAGTACCGGACTAGTGACTAACCCTAGAGAGGTACCACTCCAAACTGCATAACTGGTCAACAACTGGCGTTTACCCGCATCCTTTAGTGGCTTTCCTACAAGTGATTTAGGACCATTTCGGATAGGGGTGAAGAGCACCGACGTAACCAGAAAATGTCTAGAAACGTAGGATGTCGTGCTCCACCCAAAGCCTTAATAAAACCAACCAAAGTAAACTCCACAGCCTGTGCACCTTCGCAGAGTCAGACGGTAGAACCAGTCGGGACATAGTGCACCATGCAGTTTGAGCAAGAGAACAAATACATCCGTAGTGAGGATATCAGTATCCCCTTAAACTCTTTATTTTTGAAATATTGATGGTTTACTTTCCAAAACGTCTAAGCTATAGATTTTCGCGTGATCTTTCCACTACGTTGAAAATTATCCACAAGATTGCGCTCCTTTTCTTCTGGCTACTTAAGCTGTGTACTAATGAATTTGATGTCTTCCAGTGTAATCCGGGACATATGCACGGCATTGCTGAAGCTATAAACTGTCTGGGAAAGTAAAAGTTTTCCTCCAAAGACCTCTCACATAGATGGTGGTTTCCTCTCCTCGTAGCTGGGAATTCAACTGCTACTTCTCACTTCGCAGATGTGCAACAATTAGACTGCCTACACTTTACTGGCATCTTCATCACCACTGGGGGCGAGATGGCCCAAGTGGTAAGAGCGCGAATTTACTGACCGGAAGGTCCGTGGTTCGAATCCGACCTCTGCCTCTCGACTTCCCCTGTCTAGGCTTGATCAACCTGGCAGTATCCCAGCCCTCGTGCTTTCTTCCGGTGAAATGGCAGCCAGGCACCGAAAGGGTGCTACAGCTGAACGCTTCTTCTTTCATCACCACTACTTCCTAAGTTGTCAGGAACAATGGAGGAAGTTGGGGCTAGCAGGACCACCCTCTCAGGGCCATAAACCACCATATCCTTCTCAGTAGACGGAACTACGCCCCTACTGTACCTGTACCGCCAGTTTATCCAATACAACCGAAATGATTCATCATGCGTAGCCCCGGCAGAAGATATTTAATGACCTTGTGCGATGGAATTGTAGTGTCATGACGAGACGTAAAGGAATTAACGGGTGACACAGGCACCTCGTTGTTCAATGCGGTGCTAGCGTGTATGGTAATGGCATCGTACTTGGGCTGGTTGACGTCTGCCAACAAGCCTCTGCGATTTTGCCCACATTTTTCAGACCATTCGCACTCATCCGGTGTGAAGATCTACCATACAACTGAATCACGTCACATCTTCCGAAAAACTGATCACACCTGTAACAACGAAACTTCATCAGATTAAGGTATTCATAGGAAACACCATCCTTTACCTTAGCCCGACAAAAACTAACTTAACGCTCTAATCCATCCCCTACGAGGAATGGCAAACGAGAACATTAAGTTCCCGTCTGGCGACGGCTGCTAGACTGTAATGTTTTTTGAGTGATCCGAGAACCCCAAATGCACGGCTGGTTTTCCTTTCGTAGCTCGTAACGGTACAATGCCATTTCCACTCCATTCCGACCATCAGGCAAAAAATCCGGTGTTGCGTAACGGATAGCCTCGCGGCGATGGCGTCGTTGCCTTCATCGGTGAACTATTCCGCGACAGACCGACGGCTGGCTGACCATTAGTCGACCCGAAAAACATGGAAAATACGGGTTATATCGGCCCTTGGTGCTATTCTCCGAGCAGGGAAAAACGGGAAATGAAGCCTCAACTATTGTTTCGAAACAGACGACAAAAGCTCTCTTTTGTTCCATCCAATCATGTGGTTTCTAGCTGGGGCCAACAGTAGGAGTTATGCAACATATAGATAAAATTACGTTTGTGGGCCCTGGAACATCGTGAAGGCAAACTTGGCCGTCAATAGGCAACAGCATTCTTTAGGTGAAGAATTCTTAACGCGAGAGAATGCTACATCACTGAGGCGTTGTCTAGATAGAGGCTTCTTGTGAGCACAAATGACAAGAGGTGGACATAGAACTGGATAGAAATCTCATGACAATCTGCAGAAGCATGGAACAGAAGACATACATGAACCAAGCCGAGCACGGAACTCACAGTCAATGAGAAACAAATAGAAGATGAGTGAAAAGATCCAAACATAAAATACAGGACGTCGGTTGAGGTACCTGTAGTTCCTGTTCTTGTTCCTTCTGTAGAATTGGTAAATGATGTTGGCGGGAGGCATTTATTGCACGTTCTTCACGATGCTTGTTGCGCAGTGCGGTCCTCTCAGCTATAAAAATGGATCAAAGTCAAGGAGATAAGAACGCATACCATAGGTAAAATAGTACAAATGTACTATAAGCGAACAACCCGCATGTGGCATTGCTTATCCTACGCGGGAGACCAGTGGACTGATAACTATAAGAACGGATACTGCATTCCTCACTGGCCTATCTAACCCTGTCAGAATCCAAAAGATTCGCCTTTCATCTTTGTTGTACCCTTAATCCAGCATCTCTATACCTACATTTCTTCCGAACAACGAAGAGATGCTTTCATAACCTCTGGCAGCTGTAAGCGTTAACATGAATCTCAAAAAAGCAGATAGATTTAATCTACTGTTGACGGCTGCAGTAGTGTAACTCATTTGAATACCCTGCACAGGAAAACTTAGATCTTAATGTTAACCCAAAGCCCGGGTGCCGTGCGCCTGCTATGACATGTAGACAGTTAACTGCAAACATCGGTGATAAGTGGGACAAATCCCACGTAATCGAGACAATCAGCCAAGGATACCACCACGCGATCGACCCTCTGGGTTCGATTACGGTAACCATGATATGTGTAGAAAACCCACAACCAGTGGGATAACTAGGCAGGCTTGAGTATCCCACGTAGTTGGAACAGCACAACAAAACAGTAGAACCAATCCACCGGATGTTTTATTCATGGCGCACCTCTAAATTTTGGCCCTGGCCGAATCTCACAGTCTAACTGGGCATTAATCAGGATGTACGCGTTCATTCTCGCTCACTGTTTGTTACTTGAGTGGATGATCGGATCAAAGCAAGAAGACGTTGGAAGACTACATTGCTGTCAACCGAAATGTGGCTACTTAACAGAATCCTGAGTCATACTTTCAAAAATCCTCTCATTCCGGTGCATTACAGGAGAAAGAGGGTAACAATATTCGTAACAATATTGGTGGTTGTGCCACAACCACTAACCCACCGCTACGCACCACTACGCTCCATAATAACGCACTGATGATGTCACCTCGATTGGTGATGAAACGTTTGCAACCAAATTGCCCAGCTCAGCGAACAAGCCAACGACCACCATCTACGCTTTCTCAGCTACCGACATTTTCCTCTATAGGAAGTCTGCTAGTTTTTTCGAGCAATATTGGTCAGTTGTGGGGACCCTATTCTTTTTGTTAGCTCGACTCTAATCAGTCGTTTCTTAGACAAATTCGATTGTCGAACAGTGTGAACTTTCAAAACAGAGAAGAGGCTACATTCAGCTGTACGTTCATATATATCTGCAAACATAGGGTAGCCCCGCTGGTGCTGGTCAAGCTTAGATATCAACAAAAGGCTAGTGATACATAAAGACAAATGAATTATTCGGAAGCAGAATGCACAATGAGCCATATTTTTTTCATATTTTTTCATATTTTTCACCACGATCCTCAAAATTAAACGGTATCAGCAACAATAGTAGCAAAGATAATACTTTTTACATCTTTACTGATGAAGCAACTTGTGTACAAAGTTCCAACAGAACAGTAGAGAGCCTTTGTGGACTCTGTAAGGGGATTAGAATCTTGGCATCCGAAACGGCGAAATTCGGACAAGACAAACATTCGTGACGACAACCCTACGGGATACCGAAGCTCCCTATATATCACAACGATTACCACTACAACATGGAAGGTTTTCTGCGGTTCACAAATCACAAAACATACTTTGACAGAAATACTGTTTTGATTATCATTGGTGGCGAGACCACGATTCCATTGTTACGAGGGATGCACGTGCTTCAGTGCGAAACGGTTATATTAGTGGTGGTGTACACAGCGAACCAAATATTTACCAACGTGCTGACGTAAATACAGTTGCGTTGCGGGACAGAAGAATACGTCATTCAACTTTCCTTGCCCATCATTTTAGTGAAGAAATCTATGAAAAAAGAAATCGTTGTCGTCTATATTCTACGCACTAAACAGGAATCCTGGCTTGTCCAAAGATTGGAATCTGTTAAGGGCGATCAACATGTGACCCAGGTGCATGCACACTGGTCCGTCGGTTATTTGCCCAGGCACTTTTTATGAGACAGGGTTTTGCGGTGACATCTTTGCTGCGACAAATTTCAGGATAGTGTATTGGTCTGCAGTTCCAAATCACTTACAAGTTATCAATTAGTTTATGCGATTTGTAGATACCTCAGTCATGTGAAACTCGAGTAGCGATCACAAGTCAATTTTTCGACTATTCTATCTGAAGCACTGTGAAAATACACCTGCATTCACGAGCACCAAAGGTTTGTGAATCGACTAGATAGAATATGGACATCGCCTAAGACGAACCGTAAGAAAATTAAATTGATAGTCAGTGGTGAATTCATAAAAATACGTGAATTGCCTAACGAAAAGCATTCGGACGCAGGTGACGACCTGTTGAAGAACTTCAACGCATTAATCCCTCCAACGCAAACAAAGACGTAAAGATGTGTTTCGTCAGTCAGGAGGGTCGAAAACAGAGATGCAGTTAAGGGAGAAGGTTGTATTGACCTTCTTTAGAGAGGTCAATGCATCCCGACTTCGACTATTTTCGCGGGCAAAGCAACTGCAACCGAAACCACTCATGACAGTGTGAAATATCATAACCTGCTCATAGTTAGGGTTACAGCGAACTGGAAACAGAAAGGGATGAAAAAACGGATTGAGCGGTCAGAAAATTAACGAAGTCTAATAGAATATGGTCAGAGGTAGAAGGTCAGGATAAACAGGAAAAAGTATATCAATAAGTGCATCGGTTACCTGACTGTTCCGAACGAAGTGACATGAGCTGTTTATGAAGTGCGTGTTCTTCAGACCGCTGTGCCTCGGATAACTCTATCACAGAATCGAAAATTGCACCGTCGGCTAGCGTGTGGGCCAACTGAGTGAGGGCAGCCTCGGAGATCCCGGCCTGAATATCTCTGTGAAGAAAACAAACGGCGCAGAGAGATCATAAGAAATGTTGACCAGTGAAAATCCTAGGAATTTGACTGAATAGTATTCGAATTAGCCATGCGCAAGACCAAGGCCGGAATAGGAACACAAGTCAACCAAATGCCTTCAAGTTTTCATCAGTTGTAAATACAGCGGGAGACAATCGCCCAGTTGTCACTAAGATTCAACCAGCCACTTTATCACAGAACTCATTCTCAAGGCTAGTTGACACGAGGCGTGGAGACAAACTTCAATTGAGCCCTCCACCCACCCTGAAAATGCGAAAATGCACACATGCGCTCAGCGGCTGGTATGCACATAAAAATGCGTCATGCGTTGCTATGGCGATTCAAACTGATATCTGATTCTGTACTTCGCTTAACCTCTTTGTCGCTCGAGCAACCTGCCAAAACTAGATCACATGACACGAAGTGTGCGCTCGAACGGCAGTGACGCCACATCCTGCCTGAGCATAAGCATGTCACAGTGTATGTCATCAATTCAAGGTCGAGCAGCGTAGTAAATGGAAATTCGTGGGTTCGAATTTCCTCTGAGAAATCCGTGAGTTGTGTATTGGCAACAAGCCGAAATGCACTGAACTGCTCTCCGCTTTTCGCTAAAGATCAACATCAATTGCACGAGGAGCCCTTGATGGAAAACACTTCACCAACAACAAATGACATTTCAGCGTAAAGAGCAAAAGTTGATCAATCCCGGTCCATATTAATCATTCTGTCGACGATCAAAAGTGAGCTCGGGTATCCAGAAATCCTCAGCGAGGTCAGCTATTCAACTGAGACGATGAGCTCCAGGACTTTGTGTTGTCTTTCACGACCGGTCAAGGCTGTGTAGCCGTCGAATTACGGTCCATTCTGCCACTGACAAAGATACAGACATATCACATATTCATCCTTTTGCTGCCAGGACAGCCAAAAAGTATGGAGATTCACCTTAAGGCATTGGTCGATAGCTCAATTCAACCACTATTCTGTAGAATCAAATTATTTAATAGGATTTCAATTCACTCTACTGCTCAGTGAGATCGACTAACTGGTGGGAAACATGTGTCGAATGCACATTGCTACGTAAAAGGTCTTTGGATGGAAGACTACACTTCCGGCATTCCGAAAGCAAGAACCGGTAGCAGAACATCGAAAAAAACCGAGGGGATTCAGTCGTGCTAGAGGTCGTCGAATTCGAGATGCACAAACAGCCTGACAGTTGTGATTGTATTAGAAAGTCCCGCTATGTGAGGGTAGTATTGTACCCGCAACGTCCATAAAACACCGACCAGGTATTTGATGATGCAGACTTTATCAGCTAGTTTGAGTAAACAGGGAATTTCGATGGTTGCCATACGTACACTATCAGCGGGTGCCTGATGAGCAATGGGATAGAAAAGAAAATTGAGAGTTGTAGAGTTTTTAGGAACCTTCTGAGTTGTCTCCTCCACGAAATAGAGAGCAATTTAAAGAGCTATGTGAATAAAATTTAATTTTCACGTAAGCATATGAATGTACTTCTGAACGGCGACCATACGTACACTATCAGCGGGTGCCTGATGAGCAATGGGATAGAAAAGAAAATTGAGAGTTGTAGAGTTTTTAGGAACCTTCTGAGTTGTCTCCTCCACGAAATAGAGAGCAATTTAAAGAGCTATGTGAATAAAATTTAATTTTCACGTAAGCATATGAATGCACTTCTTGAACGGCGATGAACCTGTCCATGGCGAAGGGTGCATAGCAAAATGAATACACCTCTTATTCATCCACTAACTCACATGGGAGCCTCGGCGAAAAAGGTTCTTAACTCATTCAAATAGAAGTAGACACGTTGCTGGAACAATTCCCTTTCGCGGACATTCATCGGTGCCTCTATGCGAACATGGTGCTTCGGACTCCCCGGCTGATGCGGGAACGAGTGTTGTGGTATGGTAGAGAGCGGAATCTCCAGCACATCAAAAACCATGGGAATATCAACAGCTGGCGTTCATCACTGCGGTATTCGGCGGATTGTTCGCCGTTCCCGTTGAAGCTAGCTAGAAGACGAATAGTGGATGGTGCCGAAACCGACCGTGATACAAGTTAAGATAAGCACATGTGAAGTAATCGGCTATATCACCTAGTGGTCAATGCACGCAATGAGTAATATACACTATCCAACCAGTAAAATATGACACAAACGGAAGGTGTGTTGCCCTAGACGTGGTGTTAAAAACCCAATGAGAAGTAAAGGGGAACAGGAAGCCGAATCACAAACTGAATGCAGGACTCGGAAAACAAACTAGTAACTTCCCGCTCACTGAAACAAAAATATAACCGAGGAGATGCTTGGGACGGAACTGGTTACACCCATATCCTTGAAAGCAATACAACGATATGAGGAGATCCTGGCCAGCATCTTGACAGCTGCCAACACGAAGCCGAACAGCTCCAATATGCTGCTTTGTGAGAAGACAGTCTCTTGGCCATTTGGGGTACATCGCTTGATTTTTAGTAAGGAGGTTATCTGAAGTCGGATATGAGTAGAACGATCGACTGGTAAAAGACTTAAGAACTATTAAGTGCAAATTAGTTTGCGTATATGTATTTGGGTGAGCGGAAGCAGGAAAACGGTGGAACGCAGTCGCAAAACGCGCGGCAAATGAACTTGGGGTCCAGAAAATGAGGGAGTGCAATGCTTTGAAAACGCTTCCCAAACGTAGAGTAGAAGTAATGAGACACCCAAGATGAAAGGTCAACGATGCAATCGGCAAACAAATTTCCATATTCGACCGAAAAGGGTCAATCACACGCTCTTCTCTTTCACAAATAAGTCACACATTCCATGGAAATCTTGTCTGATTTCGGTTGTGATTCGGTTCACAATACTTCAAGGAATGTGGTAATTTGTCATATTAGTCCCCTCAGAAGGACGCTGAAAAAACGATATTGCAATCTTGGTGCTCAGTTAAATATGAGGGATTGCTATGAGCAATGGCTTGATCGCTGAAGGTAGCTCTTCATACTCGTCATACTTCAAGAGATATGGGAAGAATGACCTGAAACGGGTTTCCCTTGGTTAAACTGAGAAATGATCCATAGTGCGCTGGACTGCATGCTAGACCATTGTGGATGTGAGGTTCAGCTAAGCCACTTGCAAAACAGATGATTGTCTGTTTTGATGTTCCTCACCGGAATATACAGCGCAAAACTCGGAGAGTGGGAAAATGAATCCCGGTTATCGAAACGTTGGCTTACGGTATCAACTATTGAGTTACCCGGGCCCGTTTAACCAAAAATCAGTTACTGTCTATATGGTATGTAGTACCTGTTCAACGTTTTCCCCTATTTCAAATTCATTTCGATTTCACGAAGTGAAATTCATGGGGACCTCGGATCAGGCCTCCACATCAAATCAGCAAAAGCCATGTAGTCATTACCCGGATAATGGAATGCGATCAGTCAAACAGGTGCAACTTGACGCATTAAATAAGGCCAGGTTTTGATCTGTACACACGCCACCGTAAAAAAAACGTACTGCGAGGATGAAGATGAATGGGACCAGTACCTTGGAAGCCTTATTTCTTGCACAAACATATGATAACAGCCAACCTGAGGATCGATGCTTACAAACCCGAGGTAGCATTTCAATAACACCTCAATTATCCACCGGGAAATACCTGGGGAAGTAAATGTGGCTTCATCACTACTCATCGTTCCTTCCTGGACAACTTCACAGCACTGTCGTCCCCAAGGATCCCCATCTCCTCAAAGAGTGGAATATTGCACCCCAGAAAAGAGAAGCCGATGCGAACCGACGAAGAACACCTACTGATGCCAGGTGCTCAAGCCACAGCCTAAGCGAACGAACATTAAGAACAAACTGGGCCTCAGTACATAATCAAATCCACTAGATACTGAGTACTGCGTTCGTTTTTATGCAGATGAAGCAAATATCGACAAAGCAGCGGTGGGTTGGTTTGCATACAATCAGCAGCACACTAGCTAGTTACAAACAAAAAAACTGGAAGCACCAACAGTGGAAACTAGCTAGCACTCAGCACAAGCAAAAGGTATCACAGGAATCACAATCCGGTGGAACAGAATATGCGACGGAATGGACGTAGCAGCCCGTGTGCTGACCTGAACGTCTGTGTACGGACAGAAACGCGGATGAGCGGACAAAAGGCGCAACTAACATAGTGCAAGCGACTACAGCACTACGATGGTTAATTACGTGGAACATGCAGAAAAACAAGAAAACGAAATATGTGCACTGTTGGGCATTTAGCAATCTGAATACCGCACTAACCGTGCAAGCAATCACCTTGTCCGAGAAATAAAAGCAATGACAAGTGAACTAGACATTCCTTGGCCAACACTGGTATGTCTAAACAAATTTTTCGTTCTTCCTGCAGTGATACGGTGTTATCCTGAATTTTCACACAATCGATCGAGGTACATACAATGTAGTGGGTACACTATAATAGTGGCGACGATTCATGAAATAGGATTATGAAAGAGACCAATTTGAAAGCAGTTTCACCTTTATCAACTAAAAAGATATTACAACAGCGGCGATTTCATTCATCAGCGGAGGGACAGTCGCACTTTGGAGGCGACAGTGAAGTTTAAATCTGCTTGTCTTACTAACGGTGCAGGAAGCGGGAAAGTGTGGCTACCGCGGAATTTAATTGCTCGGTTATAGGAACGTCACTAGGCTGGGCCACGTCTGTCAGCATTCCTAATGATTCGAATCGATGACGCACAAACACAGATCGATGTATCAACACCAGTTCACTGTGATGAAGTCAATGGCGGATGCAAACGATGAATGGCTGTTCGTCCACACAGAACGTGCGTCAAATGTTCACGCCAGATGATTGGTTTCAAAAAAATTCCCACGCACTGATATACTCAATAGATATTTTATCCTGCAAATGAAGCGAAACTATGCCGAAAAGACTAGGAGCAATGTACAGCCGTTTCATCCTTGCTGGGAACCACTAGCAGTGAGCACCTCACAAAACTCCAAGTTTTGAACAAGCGGCCTTCCAGCCAGTGGTGGAACACTTAACCGTTTGGTCATGAGTGGCTGACCAGCAGTGTGATTAGCCCTCAATCAGACAGAACACAGCGCAACTCATCCTTCAATAACGGGAACCATATCACGTGGTCACGTATTGACTGGCTTCTCGAGCAACGACTTCTCAGGGGAAAGTTTCACACATCTAGTGAAGTTATCATTCTTCTAAGCTGCTTATTGATTCAAGATAACCGGAGATTGGTTAATATTCTATTGAGATCTCACCCTATCAGTGATACACTGACAAACACTACGCAAATGTCGCGCACAATGTGAATTGTTCCGGCTAAATTGGAAATCTCTGGCATTGGAAGACATTCTTGCGGTCAGTCGGTCCCATAAAGATGGAAATAGTTATCGCAGTTATTTGTATGTATGTTATTGCAGTGTGTCTGGTCGCTGTTCAAAATTCGTGGGATATATGATTCAAAACAGAGAGAGGGAGAGCAAACAGCAGGCAACTGATATGATTCAGAGAGTAAAGGGCAAGATGCGTATAAAATGGTTTGAATGCACCTCTGCCTTTTCAACTTCGCCTGCCCAGGTTTGGGCAATCTTAACCGTATAGCGCTGATCATGTCTGACCATGTGACGGTGGATACTACTGATGAGGCATACGAGCAATACGCTTTCTCGTAACTCCATTCGCGTCTATTGAAAAGTGTAATTGCTTTGTATTATTTGTTTACACTTGAGTAATATTCAATGAATATCCAGGAAAGTTCAGAAAGACTCGTTAGGGAAGAAGACGGATATTCAGTTTTATAAACAAGATGCATATGAGAGTTTTGCTGCCCTGTCCAATAGTCTGTAACTGTCCAGTTGGTGTTTTCTAATAAACACTTCCGCAGCAAAGGCCTTCCTCCTTTCACCCATATGATGGCTATCAACAAAAAAGGCGAACCGCCCTAGTCGATTGTACGACGAAATAACTCGTTATATTGCAAACAAGGGATTGCACACAAACCGGATGACTCAGTAATGCAGCCATTCCGGATAGGCAGCGAACCTAAATGAAGCACATGCTAACATAACGCTGTGGTCACGACAAGAAAATTCACTGCTCTAGCTTTTTGTACCAGCCAGATCAGTTGACGACTGGGACAAAGAAGGAATCTCCTCACCAGTGCCTGTGAGATGCAAAACCGTTGGAGTTTAAGCGAGATAGTCCTTATTCAAGACAACTGAAATAAAACTTTATTTGCTCCGTGCGCGTAGTTCGACAGGCACACGTAAGGACAGTGATTCTTCACAGAGGGCTGTAATTTCGAACCATAGTCTAAGATGGCCAGTAGCAGACATTGGGTATTCCACTTTCGTCATGCTGGTTCGACATAAAACCAACTACGACTAAACTGCCCATCGCAATGTGAACGGTAACGAGGCATAGCAGAATAAATAATAAGATAATATAATCCTTCGGCGCGTAGCTGCCATGCCACCCGAAGGCTGAGTTAATATTAGGTGGCCCAAGCCTAGACACGAGCAGTGGAGATGCAGAGACTGGACTCGAACCACGGGTCTTCCGGTCTCAGTAAGTTTGTGCCATAAACACTGAGCCAATTCGAATAAACCACATAAGTAATCCAATGTCCCGCTTCGTACATAATCATCTAATCGCGAACGTTGTTGAGGAGGACTTGAATCAGCACATCAAGTTCCATATCCCATTGACTGATACAATATACAATTCGCAACAAAATTATTCGGTGTATCGCCATAATTGCGTTAGTGAGAAACAAAATTGGTAATAAAGTGAAGAACACCATCGGAAAAAATTTGAATTCACCACCAGCACACTTCTTGAAGGAAGTGAAACATCAGAGTTGAGGAAGACGGGAGCGTCACTGTTCCAATGAACAACTTTCTAAAGAAATACTCTGGTCACCTGGCCGCGGGACCTCTGTAAATCACGAATTTTCTGTCATAATTTCATTGCAGCAAACATTACATTAGCTCTAGATTAAAAAAACTCTTGTACCCCTGTTAATCGGAGATCATAATCGGATACATATCAAGTCGGTGCAATACACGCACGCGACAGAACATAAACTAGCATTTGTCAAGTTGAACGTGGGCATTTCTTCGCCGCCTTGTGAAAAAATTCCACCCTCCTACTAACGCGAAGCGATGGGCAACAATAATGGACGTAGAACTACCTGGAAGTATGCATCGGCCCTGAATACAGCTCACTACCCAATCCAAAACTACAGCTCTTCGATGAAGCTGACTTTTAACACCCTCGATACTTCTAGGCCTTCATCAAACATCTTCAGCTCCTCATCAATAATGGCAGAACAGGAAAGTTGAATGATGTACATAAAATTAGCTGAGGAATTGAACGTTCTTTCAACGCTCACACTACATACTTTCTGAGATCTGAAACTCTCTCAGCTGAACTTGAAGCCTTCCTGGTCTGAAAATAAACAAAACAATTAACAGTGTTGAGTAGCATCCAGAACTTTGGCGCGCAGATGCAGGCATTGCAAGAGGCACTGCCCCTTATTGGCATAGGTGGGAAGGAGGAAATGATAGCTCAACAAGACTGTGGTTTACAGCTCGTTGAAATGACTTCTATCGCAAAGACATTGGAATGACCAAACTGCTGCCCCGATATCAGGCTGATCAAGACCATATAAAAACATACTGATTCGAAAATTGAGTTAGGCGTTCCTGTGAAACGCTCAAAGAAGAAAACACCAATCGAAATGCCATTCAAGCAATCGCTAAAACTACAACATAGCTCTTCATATGGGTTCGGGGAGGAAGGACTGCAATATATCATTAAAAATTCGTTTGATGGGACGGCGCCCTGGGATAGGCGCGTAATGCTAGCGTGGCCACCTCCCATAGTTTTGTGCTTTAAGCTAATTTCTTCAAGAAATGATCCTGCAAACCTTGGAGTCCGTCATATACTAATCAGAAATTGTTCCGTTTCATTCATCAGTAATAAAGTTATGGAGAACATGAGTGGTCCAATAATTTTGTTGCAAGTATGAATATCTCTATGCTTAGCCCCTGTAAGGAACGATCTTGCTAACAAGTGGACGCTGTATAAACGAACAGTCACTTTTTCGGATGATTCTGGTTGAAATTCCACTGCAACCCAAGCAGCATGCTCCTTATGGCTTCGTTTGTGGATCGACCAGCCAAACTGGTAAGCGTGAAATCAGTATATGTGTCAAGCAATGGCTTTGACTAGTTTCTGGAAGATGCATTACAATGCAAAATCCTATTCACCTTAAGTCTATTAAGAAGCAAAGTAGACTGGTCAACCATATTTGCCCGGGTTCGGTTGGAGAACCTATCGCCAAAGTGGGACAGCACGACAGATCAGTAAATCACAAGCCATATAAGATTGGATGGATTCATCCAATAAATAGGAAGTGTTGTCATGGAAATTTAATGACGACTGGAGTGAACAAACAAAATTTCAAGTTACAAACCTTCTAAAATATGAAATACGATACGTTCAAAACAATCAAATCTTCTACTAGTTACTCATATGAGGCGACGCGGTGAACAGCATGCTTAAGACTTTAAGCTACTTGTGGAAGGAAGAACGCCCCCAGTTCTGAGTTGTTTCCTGGCCGACACGAACTAAACGGTTACAAGCTTCATTCTGGGGGTATGGCAGTTAGGCACCAAAAGGTTCAGCTGCAGCTGAACGAGTAGACGTAAAAGCAAAAATCTCTTTTGCACAGTCTTTGAAATGTGAAGATACTCAGACGTCCTCTAGAACTTTCCTGGTTGTTCACTGATCACTAAACAATCACGAACGAACACGGCAAAGCGGTTAAATAATGTCCGTACCAACCTTCCATCAGATGTAGAGACAGCGCTGTGAAAACTGACCAAACGTTACTTGCGTGTTTAGTCAGTAGTATACGCCCCCACACTTGGCCAGTGAGGATACATAAAGAAGCTGAGCAGAGATAGCGAAAGAGCTAGCTAGAAAGTTAAAGACCATCCCTAACTTTGTATTCGGATTGACAGATTCGTAGACGACTGGCATGTCAGTGGGTCAATCTTCCCTTGGAATCGACGTATAAACAGATCAGATGGTCCAAATTGGTTTGCCCAGCGCTGCGGTATGCGCTTTTTGCGCTCATGACGATGCTGACAACGATGCTCTCAGCTCCAAAACACGTGGATAGCCAACCAAGTGGAGCAGTGCTACCATCGGATTGGAGTTTGATCGAGCTAATTACAGGTGATGAAGTCCTCTGTATGATCCGTTTAAATGGTAATTGGTCCCCAGGTCTGAACAAACTCACACCCAGGATGCTTCGCCGGTTGAATGCCAGAAGCTCGCTGGGTATTTCAACTTACTCTGGGGTTTCCCGCAGCATCCCTAATCCCAAAGGTCCCGAGTCCGACTTCACCCACCCAGGATGCTTCGCCGGTTGAATGCCAAAAGCTCGTTGGGTATTTCAACTTACTCTGGGGTTTTCCGCCGCATCCCTAATCCCAAAGGTCCCGAATCCGACTTCACTGGATCAACTGAGACGGATCTCCGTGTCACCCATTCTTGCCCGATGCTTTCATAAGGTACTCGCTGATCGCTGGAGTCGTAGATTATAACTACCCTCACTCCAGTGTGCATTTCTACATCGAGACGGTTGTTTAGAAGCTACATCGCTGTTACATGCCCTGCTTCGTCAACCTTCAACGACTGCTTCTAACCTCAGCTTGGCGCTTGTTGATATCTCGAAAGCGTTGGATTCGGTTTCAAACGACACTATCGTCAGATCTACCGAGGCGTTTGGAGGACCGTCACCCCTAGATCGATACAACACACAGTCCTATGAGAATGCTGTAGCAGTTTTCCCGAGGTCCACTGCCACAGAGGTGTGAGGCAGGGAGATCCACTCTCCCGATTGCTGTTCATCATGGCAATTTATGAGGCTGTTGGAATGTCGAGGCCGCAACTGGGATACCAGTTCAATTACACCCTAGTGGATGGTTTTACCTTCGCTGACAGTCGAGTTGAGAAGAGCTGGTATAAAGATCACCGCTCAAAAAACGAAAGCGATAGTGATTTGTGTTGATAGTCGCGGTTCACGAGGGTTAATCGGTTCTTCTCTCGAACCGACGGTTTATGTTTCCTGAACGATGGTTTCTTCGGATATTTATCCAAGGTGTCCAGCTCCGGTACAAACTACTTAGGACGTGAGTTAGAAGCTCCCAGCGGGATCGCGGTGGCCAGACGATAGTCTGTCGACGAAACTGTAGCCAATCAAGGAATTTGGTGCATATTCTGCAGTCTGCTGGATCACGCATGATATCAGATGTGCTCGTCATAATCGGGTTGCAAGGGAACTCTCAAAACCTCTCCGCCACCTGGCATACACGATCTTCGAGGAGTTGAGAGCATCTACGTCGGCGTCTTTCATCAACCCTGGCCTAATCGCTATTCGGGAGCGCCGGGCAATTGTGATAGACGTAAGCATAGTCTCGGATGGGCGCGGACTGACTGTGGAATGAGAAAAAGCGGAAGTATGGTGCCAATGAATATTCGCTCGCCATAATCTCGGCCATACGTGTAATCAATTGTGATATCCACTTTTTGGTCTGCCAACCGATGATCATCTCATATCTTCAATCCGGCAAGGCTGTTATTGGGCTAGGACTTTCTAAGGTCACAATCAGTGACTTGTGTAGGCTTGCCATTTTGGGCTCTCTGCCTACTTACGACACTTATGCGTGGTACATGGCGTTGAGTGTTCATTATTGCCATTGATTTTTACACTTGAACCAGTATGATGGACACTTTGTGCCTGATGTGTGAGTAGTGACTGTGCTAGCGTTTACCACGCCTTGAATGGCGTTTAGATTGTTTGTTTTCTCTTCGGTTGCTGGTCTCTACACGCGTGTTTCCATACCAAACATTCTTACATACGTTGGGATTCACCTTGTCTGATTGGAATTCTTGGTGGCAGGTCCTCAACTGGGACGCTTCCCTTGTTTTATCTAATATTTTACTGTAACCCTTTCACACTTATCACTTGCATTTAATTTCTATGGTTGTGACCATGCTAATAAAAAAACAAACGATAATAGTAGTAGTAAACAGCAAGTAGTTTTTCAACTGGTCCATCGGATGCGAACTTGATTGTGGACCGTGTCGGATCAAGCGAAACCCGCCACCTATGGAGAGCAATGTACGGCTGGTTCCTCCGCATTTAAAGTCACAGGTAGCGCGTGACTCATGGAGCAACTGCGATTTTCCGGATAAGTGGTGGGTAGCACAAGTGGACACTCACGCACAGGAAGGACAACATACGAAGCGGAGCACAACCTGAACCTGCACGATCTTATGCCTACGGACAGGAAAGGGCCTACAAAAAGTTATGGCCTCAATCCCAAATGACTACGAAAACTAACGAAAAATCGCCTGTCCCAATGGGTCCCGAGCGAAAATGTAAACTCATGGCGAGAAGGTCGAATGGGACGTCAAAAGGAGAGTGCGTTATGAATATCACAGTTTTCAAGGCTGGACAGCAACAGTAATCCTAGAGAGGAGAAAATACAGCCATACAATTTCATTTGCACAGTAGGATGCACTCCTCTCGGAACATTCCGCGACTTTCAGTGATAAACCGACTAAATTTGGCTACTGACCATCTGATGCCCGGTTATTTGGAACAGAAGGTCTGTCTAGTCCTGAAAAAAGTTGACAAGATATCTGCTGTTTGAGGAAACAATCAGCGGCTCTGGAATAATCAGTGGAACGGTGTGGCTCTACCTTCACCTGGCGTGTACTCGACAAGACGTAAAACGTTTGTCGCGTAATAAAGGCACTCAAACCAAGATTGCACTCTATATTTTTTCGACTATACTTCGAAACCATAATGGAAACTTATGAAGGACACCACGATAGCCCACAACAAAACAATGCTCAAAGAAAACAAAGTGCAATGTTCAATGCGGAATTCCTAACAACAGATAAAAAACAAGTTGGTATAGTTTAGTCAGATTTTGTGCGTGCCCATTTGAATGCTAGGTTGAAACGACATTCATTTGGCACGAAGGATAATCGCTCAAACTATGATGTCATTTCATATCCATTTTGGTTATTTCTTGTAGAATCCAAATTCCCTAGAATCACAACTTCTATTGGACAAGATTAGTTAAAAAAGACCAAAAACGCTTTCAGAGTGAGTTCATCGGATTCATCTAAGCATATTTCGGAAACAGTTTTGGTTTGAAATGGACCGATATGATCATGGTACATGACCGCTGTGCAGTCTAGTTAACATCACAAGTACCTAGCGAACTTCGCACAACTCGGTGACAACGATTAAAACGAGGTTAGTGTTTGTCTGACCATCAGGCTAATAAACTTGGATCTTTGTTTCTGATGAACAACACAGATCCATACAGAGAGGATCTTGTGTTTCTGCTTGCTTAATATTGCGGATACTGAAGACAATTAAGCAGGCCAGGTTTCAAGGTCGAGAAACTACAAGAGATATGTCAACAGGATCATGTTTTCGCGTACCCATCCTCTCGCAGGTAGTGAATAAGGTAACCCGAGTGATGACATCGCGCAATACACGGTATAACGTGAAATTATTTCCGTTTGTAAAGCCCATAGTTTCATTACTAATAATTTCTAATTCTGTTATTGTTGTTAAAAACTGACCAATGCTAAAAATCAGTGGGATTGGCTGATCCAGAGAGTACATGCCAGCTATCAGCAATACTCATCCAACCGTAGTTTATGCCCACCAATCGGATGACAAGATCACCAATATGAACGTGTGCATCCCGGTGAAGCGCCGCTAGTTCAGGCCCCGAAAATCACGAAGCCAAGAGGTATCCAGTTAGAACAAGGTATTTATCCAGTAGAAAATAGACCCCTTTTGTTTATATGAGTATCGTTCAGTACGGTAGGTTTTATTGTCGAGATCTGTCTGGAACAGCTGCAAATTAACCACCCAGAGACAAAAATGGTGCTAGTGAAACATACGTACATTGTCTGCTCAAAATGACCGTCGCTCACACGGGTTTTCGCACAGCTCGATGATCGATCACAGTCGAACTATTTCATCGATCATTACATATGCACATCCGCACTTGTCTGATAGTCACGCATGCAAATAAGGTTTCACTCCATTAGTCTTCTTCCAAAAAAGCTATTCATACACATCCACTCGTCAAGTCAATCCAGTTCAGAGTAAAACCATGTCTGAGATATCACTGTTTGCATGGTTCCCTATGAGAGTGGTATATCTATGACATTCATCAACAAATCTGTAAACATTTCTACACAACCATGCACACGCAACCGAGAGTCGAAACACGATACAGACAGAGAACAAGCGAAAACTCCGCATGGTATATTGTTATGGATACAACAATAAAACGGTAGTTGAACAACCCCACGAAAAGATTCGTCGCGCCGCAGAGTAGATCAAGAAGTTCCGCATTAACGTAAATCACAATGAAAAGTAAGATGAAAAAGTATCAAGAACAAAGTGCGCGAGCGAAATAGGTGGGTATTGTGTCGCCTAACAGAAACAGCAACCGAATGAGGCAGCAGATGATTGATTGGCTCTGAATCTTCTTACAACTTCGAAGGGAAGCAAAAAGGCACTTGATGTCGCGTGAGGCAACACACGATCCTTCCCCGGAAAAAGAACATGTAAACAAAAGAAAGCTCGATGAATCAACGCATCGGAACAGGGAACCTGATGTCAATGTTGGATAAGGCGACCATAGTGAACTCATCGATCGATTAGGTAGACGATTTCAAGGACAGCAGAATTCCGCGCATTCGGCTGAGGTCAGTAGCGGGCTTCTGTTTATCCTAAACGATTAGAGTCAAAAGAAAAGTGCGAGATAAGTAATGAGAGTGAAAGTCATGTGTAGAAAACGCGTCAAAAATGTGCTATCCAGTGACTATATCCCTGGACACCTGAATCACGCTAGACCTTTCTGGGGAAAGCTTCGCAGACACAACCCGTCCAGGGTAATTTGTAATCCACCGGCTCTACGAGGTTTGATACGGTAACTGACAACAAGACATACACATGAAGCGGCTGATACGTCCAAGTTTTTGCAGTTACTGATTTAGGCCCGCTCAGTCATCGCTCACTGTGGAGGAGGGGGGCTTGCTGAATTTTATGTAGTCAATTTTTTTCGCATTACAAGGAGTTCGCTTTCATCGGTCTGAGCGATTCCCACCAGAGGTGGGTTGAACAATTGCTGAGAAAGTTCGTGTTCTTTCGATTTTGTGCTCTCTTGTTGCTTTGAATAGTCATACAGTTTTCCGGGAATGGGATGAGTTATTTGAGAATAGTAGCACTCTTTCGGTGCCTAGCTGCTTTGAGAGCAAAAGCAGGCACGAAGGCTGACATACTGCCAGGTAGCCCAAGCCTAGACAGGAGAGGCTGGGTCGAACCCCGGGACCTCCGGTCCGTAAACTGGCGCCTTAACCACTGGGCTATTTGGAACCCAAAACTATCGAAGTAGCCATTTTTTCTTTCAATTCGCGGGCGCAACTTATTTCGTTTAATGTTAGCCCTTTACATGAAAAGTAACCACTCAATTCAAAATGCTTTCTAATCAATCCAGTCTCAAGTGTGATGGCGACATCCAAGATGCTGCCACCGTGCTTATAAGATCCCGTCTTAGGCCCCAAAGTTACTGACTTGCGGGATATTGAAAGCTACGCGTATAGTAACGACGTGTGCACTTTAAGGTTGTGTGATGTAGTTTGTTAGAATCCACAAACGACGAAACACCCGATGACAATGGATAGTTGTCAGTTGAAAGAGAGTTGTTGTAACCCTACCTGTGAATCTGAATGCCTCTTCGTAAGGTTCAGTAATTACTTTCGAGAAGGAAAGGTATACTCGATAACGTGGAAGCCATCTTAGCTGCCACGGCCAGGATTGGATAGCAAGAACCAGAACATGACGGTATCGAGTGAAAGCTGTTACTAGACAGAATAATCATTGTAGGAAGAAGGCCTTAAGTCAGTGATATCTAGGAGTGAAGTAGTCGTCCTGTGAAGGAATCGCCGTCCCGGAAGGAAAACCAGCTTTAGTTTGTCCCTTCAGGTGGCCCTTCTAGAAGAGAACTGCTTTTTCGCTAAAACCACACTTTGTTAAATTCGGTATTTGCTTAAGACTATTACCAACAATCTTATGTGTCCGAAATACCTTATGTCAAAGACAGGTCACCATGGTAATGCTCGAGTAACAGTTTGTCTGACTTTAAACTGTGTCCTTGAGTCGTTCAACTGTTATTTTGCATGAGCATTTTGATCCCACAACTGACGTACTGTGATATTGTGGCGGTTATTCAAGATGAATGCATCTCACTTAAACAAACGGAACAAAGGGATCCAATGTCTCAAATTCTACATTAAAAAGCCTGATTGCGCCCCCAACCGCCACTTGAAAAATAGATGAAGTGCGAGAACATCCAGCGTATTCAAAGTTCAAATGAGAGGGGTTTTCTTTCGTTATTTTTGAGTCAAATGAAGCTGCATTCATATGGAGTAGCACACAGACGCAGCAGAGCTGTAAATATTGTGATCATTAGACAGATGTCACTGAACCGTTGAAAGAAAAACTAAAGATTCAACAACCGGCAATGGGCATCGCTACCCTATTATGTCTAGGCTGGAGGAAGTAGCCCCGGAAAGCAGTTGAACTAACCTGAAAGTCACACATGCCACAAACTTGGTCCCACATCTTACTATCACTGACAGTTGGTTTTGGGCCGTTCGAAGGTCTTTGTTCTCCAGATACTGCTTCACTTTGCTTTTGACGCAACTCAGCCGATCGGATTTGATTCTGCTGTCGATAGTGCTTGTACCAATTCTCAAGGTCCTGTTGGAAGGAAAAGGGTAAACGATAAAAAGTGTCACACAGAGTCTAGTAGTCAGTTCTTAGAACTAACAGCAATAGTGTTTCACTGCGGTATTGACCGATTGTTCATCCGTCACACAGTTCAAGCTGTAGACAGTAGGCTGGCATCTGTTTCCGGATTGGCCTGTTGCATAGAACTACGCCGATTGACAACCGCGCACAATGTGTAGTGCCACACAGAATTTGCGCTGAGCAGCATGCGCACCCACCTAGACGCCCCGTACCAGGTGTAAACTCGAGAGCATGAGACCGGAGGGTGGCAAGAGGAAGTAGCACTCAAGCGATCAGCATGCCGAAAACTGGTGGCCCATAGCTGTCACTTCAAGTGGGTACAACCGAACAGCTGAGCCTAATAGTGCATGCAAACAGGCATCTGGCGACCCTCAGCACTCAGGGGACGCATCCAAGGCATACGCATATGGTTAGCTAGTGCTAGTGGTGATAGTCACAGAAAGTCACCTCTAGCACTGTTGTGAGCTTGAAGCTCCAGAGTATCCGGGACATTAGGGCGAGTCTTTGTTCACACAAGCGGAACAGACTATAAGTTTCTCCCGATGGGAGCTGTATCAATAATAAGCCGAAACCAGAATGCATTTGCATTTGCACAATGTGCTAAGATGTTTTCTTAGGCTTTGATATTTAGGGCGATGGCCACGGAGAGTCACTTCTAACACCGCCACAGGCTCACATATCTGGTAACCTAAGAATCTCTCAGCCATAGTACCCTTCCGGTGCCCAGATGCCATGCGAGCGAAAGGAGACACGAGGGATACTGCCAGGTCGACCAAGCCTAGACAGCGAGATGCACAGTGCCCAGATGCCATGCGAGCGAAAGGAGACACGAGGGATACTGCCAGGTCGACCAAGCCTAGACAGCCGAGATGCACAGGCCGGGTTCGAACCACAGACCTTTCGGTCAGTAAACTCGCGTTCTAACCACTGAACCATCTCGCCCCTCGGAAAGCTAAAGTAGATCTGGTAAACTCACTTCATCCTCCGACGTTTCAAAGCCGGGTATCAAGGAGTTCTTAAAGTTAGATAGAAGTGCTATCATGGTGCAAGTGTATAAGACCGATTAGTTACAAAAACCAGTCGCATTTCGCGGAGTATACGACATTGATAAATAGACACTGATAGATTGCGTCCGAATCCCGGGTGTGACTAACAACAGATAGTCCAGCATTAATTTGGTGAAAAATTCACATTCACTAATTTATCGAAGTGTTCTTTACGTAGTGATAAGTCTAATGACAATCAATAAAAAAAACGAAGTGGGGTAAAACAGCGAGTGGCAAGGTGAGTGAATTGAGGACCATGAAAAACGTCAAATACCTGATCCAGTTGGTGTGATTTCGTGGACCGATTAGGTATTAGGACTCCCAGTGGTATCCTATGCTTATCACCCGGAAACAGATAGGATAAATAAAGTAAGGCACCATGTAACAGCATACCATATATAATGAATAGAATAAACATTGTATATTACATGAAAAGGATCGTTCTGCCGTCGTATGGAGTTACAGATATCATCAATCCCCTCGAACAAGAGTCTCCCCTTTCCCCAAAGCAGGATCATTTTGACTGGGTTCCAAGGGTAGCCCATCGCGACGGCAGCAAACTACGGGAGGTTGCTGTTGGTGTATACGGTTCGCTCAGAGGTGCACTTGGGATCCAGCTATTGGTGAACGATATTCTGCTCATCAATCAAGGCCGTGCATGAGAAAAGAACCCTACCCCAGCTATTGGTGAACGATATTCTGCTCATCGATCAAGGCCGTGCATGTGTGTACTCGCACGTGTGTACTCGCAACCACTTCACAGCCTGGTACTAGTCCACTTCCGAGTCGAAGGTGTGCACTTCGTGACTAGTGCAGGCATAAGGATGACCAAACTATACATGAGAAACCGGCATCACAACCATTTCACGCATGTATAAACGCAAGATATGATCGTAGCATACTGTCATCTGCCTGTTTGGAATGAACGCCAAATCTGACAATGGGTCCATACTCTTGCGAGGAAACTCGACCCTGTGAGGAAGCAAAACAGTTAATGTCCTTCGTTTCTTAACTGGTCATCGAGAACGGGTTGTTCAATCATCAACTTCTTACTTCAGACACAAGTCTGTACCAAGGTAACCCGACATCGATATTCGGCACATACATCACCCGAAATTTTCACATAGATTCACTTTCTTTGCATAGTCTGCATGCCATTTTCGTGGATAATGTTTATCAATAGATGATTTATGCAAAACCCTATTCAAATTACTTTAAGATGGCCGGGGTTTTTTCGTATTGTGTTGGGGAAGCAAAATGACAAGCTACTGGAAACTCACATGAGCACCTGAGGCCTGCAGCTCAGCAAGCTTTTTTTCTTCTTCCGCGTCTTTTTGCGCAATTCGCTTATTGAACTCTTCACACCAGGTATCTGATATAGAATTCTGGGTGCGAAAACCATTGGTCATCGAAGATTCAACAGAGCCTCCTGGTGCAAAGCCATTGTGAGTACCTGGAGCAAATACATCGTCTCCATCCTGATCTATCGTCGGTACAGAAGTAGAGTGGGTTTGATTGTTGGCGCCCCCATTCAACATTACGAATTGTCCGCCATTCGACTGATTAAGTGGAGGAAAGTTTGACGAGAATGCTACAAAGGTTTGAGTCAGTTTTCACAAAACGGGGACACTTACGATCTTCGTTCTTCTCAGGAAGATTCAGATCGAGTTCTCCTGACAGTTCACCCAAAGCTTCTTGCTCTCGTGAAAGAAAATCGCTTACCGGGTCGAACTCAGACATAGCTGGAAGCTGAAAAACCATGACGAAACATGAATATGTGACAACAAAAATAAAACGTGGAAATGTTCACGTGANATAGTTCACGTGACGCTCTTCGAGAAATTTTCGGTTTTTTAGGGGAAAGCAAACATTTCCAGAACGTTTTTATGTTAGATTCCGCCTCAAAGCATAGAAATCCTGCAACCGACTCCGTTTTTTTGCTGCTATTATCGCGCGGCCCCGAGTGCCGGGGTCCAAGTCTTCGTGAACGGAATTTAACTTCAGGCTTCCGTGGATACAGGAAGTTCAGGAAGTTACACTATCTCATCAGCAGCAGGTGAGAACTACTGGAAAGTGAATGGGTAAAAAACCATGATCATGATAGCTTGCATCGGGCTATCAAGCTAAACATGGGGATATTGTGGATTTTCATTTGTGTATAAAAAGTAAGCTCAAACTAGCTTAGTGGTTGGTGCGCGAACTTCCTACCCGGAAGACCCATCGCTCGAACCCAACCGAGGCATCTCGACTGTGCCTGCCTACGCTTGGGCAAGTTGGCACTATATCGGCCCTAGAACTTCCCTCGAGTGGCAGCATGGCACCTATGCACCAAGTGTTATAGGTGAAGGAATCCACCGTCAATTTTCTCGTCATACAAAACGTCCTCGCTGTATTCCCAAGTCATAATTTTTTAAAATCCTGCATAAAGGTACAAATTCCTTTTGCAGGAAGAGACTATCGTTAATATTCCGCTAACGCGTACAAACTTTCTCCAGCGTCTGTATTCCACAAAACCAGATAAACTGTTCTAGGACGGCCTGGGTTCATCGCTCTAGTCGGTGTTCTTGTGAATGAATTACTGAATCGTCTTTTTCACTAGACATTTCAACGAAGGTTGCTCTACTGTGGCCAGTCGACCCAATTAAGTGGTATCGGACAAGGCTACTTCAACTGGTAAAATTCTCTTCCATCTAGTAACTGTTCACCAGAGCTCTTGATCTACCCTTAAACTCTTTACTACTTGAAGTTTGAGGGATTTGCGTGCACTATCGCATTCGCAGTCTACTGACATGGATTTTCTAGCATCAGTCAGGACTAGTGAACCCGGTGGTATTCATCTGACCCAGTGAAGAAGTCGGATAGATAGCTCTGAACGCCAAAATCATCGTTTCTTTTACACTTAAACATGCTTCATCCACGTGCTCCTTGCCCACGTTGCATTGATTCAGTGCGCGCGGTAGTCGGTACTGTCCAGTTATGATAGCTTCCCGAAATTGATGAATTGGAAAGCTTGTTGTTGTTTTGCGAAAACCTGAAAGCAAAGTTTCAAACGTGTGCGCTTAGTGGTATGATCAAAATCAAGTCATGTGCCATAAAGAGCGGCAATTTTGGTTTGTGGAAGATAACCATCTGATCCGATTGGATTCACGGCTATCTTGCAATTAGTGGCTATCTGATCACGCTTGTGTTGAAAACTCGTGCTGGTCGGAAACTGTTGATGATAAGCACACAAATGAAGGATTCGCTCTTCGTTGTCTGTGCGACTAGCATCGACTCCTGATCGATCCTCTGTACGTGATTCCTGGGCATCCATATCCCCTGCAACGACTGCAGTGTAGGAACCTTTGCCTTAACGAGCAAGTCCAAATAAATATCGGTAGAAAGTATTCCTTTCAGCGTCAGAACTCCAGTCCGTTGACATAAGCTGACGCTACAAACATGCACCGGTTTTCAGGTCGAGTGGTACTGAGCTCGATTGATCTGGATGACCAAACGGCGGAAACAGGACTGTCCACTGGAATCCAAACCAACAAAGCGCGTCCAGTTGTGGGACTGAGTGCAATTCCAATAAACTATGCTCCACTAGATATCATTTCTGAGTCACCGGACACAAGTAGAGTAAAATCTAAAGGGGTTGAGTTTATCCTGAGCGCTTTGAGACATCATAAATCAACTGTAAGAGAGTATAAGTTCTGACCAAGCATTAACCGTTTGCTAATATGACAGTACGGCCATTGGAAGCTTCTGTGTATGAGGGATCTCATGAGTTTATTTAAGGTTTTATCTTAGTTTACTGTTGGAGAGCAAGGTAGATGAGGTATATCGGTTACGTAAAGGAAGCAGAAGGAATCACGAGGGCTGAGATACTGCCAGGTTGCCCAAGCTTAGACAGGGAAAGTTGAGAGGCACAAAGTTTGTCACAGAAGACTGGCCTGCGAGGCAGAAGGCAGTAGGGCTTTACTAGAGTACCATATCTGGAGCCGATGACTCAATAGTTTGGCCTGTTTGGCTGAAAGGCGCCGGTCTGGCTGGGGGGGGAGCAGGCGTAGATATCTCACTCCTAATGCTACCGCGTACCGCAACCGTATTTGGAAAGTTATAGGGCTCCTGGCAGGTGTTAAATGTATTTTTGACCGTACTGGATAATTCAGCGGTAGTCACGGTCATCCATCGTGTGGTCGGTGTGGTGTCTTAGGCTCATATTCTCTAACTCACCCCTCCTCGAAGGAAAGGTAGCATCGCTGGCTACGTAACTATCTAATCGTTCAGTTGTAACACCCTTTCGGTGTCTAGCCACCATGCCACCCGGAGGAAGCACGAGGGCTGGGATACTGCCAGGTTGCCCAGGCCTAGACAGATACGTAACTACGGACATGCTGGTCGCCCAAGGAAAAAACTTACTACCTTCACACACACCAAAGATTAACCGCCTGTTATAGACGGAGGATCGATCCTGACCGAGCGCGAGAACAAGATTGAATAACATACAATGAACAGAATAGACATACATAAGCTGAAAGTGAAGGTGAAAACAAGGTTAACACGAAACGACAATGTGAACACAAAGGATAGTCATGACATTCACCCAAGCAGTTGGCTGTGTGTAGAGAGGTGTAACTCGGACACAGGGATGAATGATTGAAAGAAATCCACTAAGGGGCAATGATAAGTGTAGTCAGGCTTCTCGGTTTCTTGAAATATAAGGCCGCATACGCTGTTGAGGCCTGGCAAAATCAGAAATGCCAGGGTTATATGCATTGGGAAATGCGGGTGCTTCGCCCGAGCACGGGGGTGAGACTGAAGGATGATAGGTATTATCTTCAATGTTATTGAGCGGGGGCGTGCAAAAGTCAGAGGGGGGTGTATGAACACCATTGCCTTCACTGGATGAGGTATACGTGAATTCGCTGACGTGTGCGATCACCACTAGGAGCTAGATGGCGGAAGGATACGGTGCCTTCTTTTCCGACGGGAAAACGAACATGGGCGTAATGTGGATTGCAATTCGTAGGTTTGACTTCCTCAACGACTGGTTCATACTTTGAGGCACGGTCAAATCTTTTCAGCAAAACGGGTCCTGGAATAGTTAACCAACTTGGCATAGACGAACCACAGAATGACCAACGTTCAAACCGGAACGTTCGTTCATGTGGAGTGGCATTGGTGGAGACGCAGAGAAGAGAGTATATAGAGTGGAGGGCATCTGATAGAGCCTCCCAGTGACAAATTCGAAGGCCTTTCTTCTTCGGTCCGAGCTGGGTTTCCCATTAAGGCGTTCGAATTGCTCGTTCCCCTGGGGATCATAAGCAGTTATTCGGCTGGTGCAAACTCCTCTGTTATGCAGGAATGTGGATAGTTCGTCAGACATGAATGAGCAGCCACGATCGAACCGTACATATGCAGGCATACCAAATAAGAATAATTCATTTAAACATTTCATACCGGTAGATGCGCAAGTGGCTGTTAAAGGAAAGGTAAATGGAAAACGAGAAAATTCGTAAACGATAGTAAGGAGATATCGGTTTCGAGGTCCTTTAAAATTGACGCTAATTTGTTTGGATGGTTGAGTCACTTTGATGAGCGTAGCGGGCGGTGGTTTGTAACACTAAGGTTTGATGGCGGTACAAAAAGTGCATTTTGTGGTGATGCCTTTGACATCTTGGATAGGAAACGGCAAGTTTTTGGAAAGAACAAAGTGATGCATGCAACTAATTCCGGAATGAAACAACGAATGATGAACTTTTAGTTTATCATTGCCGATCACATTGGCGCACAGGTTACGCGATAAGGTGTCGGCCACGAGATTGTCTTTTCCAGGCCTGTTGCTGAACTCATAGCTAAAAGCGGAGAGTTACATATTCTATACCTGGATTTTATCGTCTTTTATCTTAACTTTCCGCAACAAACCATACATAAAGGAAACCGAACGCTGGCTCTTGATAGGCTTTAAATGCTTCCCGAAGAGATGATGCTTCCATTTTCGGATAGATTCAACGATGGCGCATGCCTCTTTCTTAATAACAGAGTGGTTCTTTTCGGTCGGTGTCAGTGCTCTAGGAAAGAAGACCACTGGTCGGCCGTTCTGAGTCAGAGATGTAGCAATGGCTATGTCTGAGGCGTCCGTCCCGACAACCAAGAGTATTGTTGTAGTCGGCCGTCACAACCATAGCGTTCTATATCTCCTTTAAATTTTCGAAGGACTGCTGCACACGCTCCGGTAAGGGGAAAGTCTTATTTCTGACAAGCACATTGATTTCGTCCGAGAAGTATGATATCCATTGAGAATAATAAGCGAACATACCAACAACTCGTTGTTGGGGTTTGGCGTCATGTAGATGGAGGAGTTGACGAATATGGACCATCCATTCAGAATCTGGTTTGATAATTCCTTCAAGGGCTTCATAACCGAGGCGTTTTTGTTTGGTTGTTATGATGCTTTTCTTGCAGTTAAGCGCAACTCCATATTTTTTATTATTCATAGAAAGATTTGAGGTTCTGGTCATGTTCAGTTTAGGTAGTCACACAAATCGTGACGTCAATATAAACGTAGGTGCCACTTAAGTTCTCAGACTTGATTATGTGGTCAATAGTACGGTGAAATTACGCTAATCCGTTGCTAACACCGAAAGGAATACGACGGAATTGAAACAGTTCTCCGCACACTTCAGAGGCCGTACATGGTTCGTCTTTCTCACTGATTGGAACTTGATGGTAAGCACTCAATAGGTCCAAGGTGCTGAAGAAAGCACAGCAAAGTTTCTTCAATCATTTTCATAGTCGCGGTAACGGATAAGCGCCTACGTATGTGAACCGATTAACGGTCTGACTGTAGTCCACTACTATGAGCGTTTTGTGGTTCGAATTTTTCGTGGCCAGTACTTGAGCCCTCCATGAAGAATTCGAAAGTTCAATTATACTTTCATCCAATAGTCGGTTAACTGCTGAGCGGATGAGCTGTTCATCGTCATGGCCATAACGCCGTGATTTTGTGGCGATAGGCTTGCAATCGAGTGAGAAGTTGGCAAAAAAAGGAGGTGGTTCAACCGTAGCCGCAGTTAGACCGCAGAGGGTGAATGGACCTCGGTTCCGTCGAATGTGATTCCAACTTCGTTATTTAGACCAAGAGATTCGTGGCCTAGCAGTACGTCAGCACATAGATTGGGTAACACTAACAGTTTGATTTTTTTGCAAACAGTACCCCTGTAATCGATGAATGAGTAGCAGTAGCCGTTAGCTAGACACGTCAGAGAGGTGAATGCCATAATAATGACGAAATCGTTAGCATATACCTTCCATACATGTGTACGAACTACTTAAGATATGAAAGCGCTCGAAATTCCTATCTATGAGGGCCTGAAGCGGTATTCCGTTTACCTTTATGCTGGTCACCGTGCGGCACAAGCAGTTTGGGGCTGCAGAATTCAACAGGGAAGATAAGGCGGAATCCATCGTGCAATCTGAGAGATTTTGACATATTTGGATTGAACAACACGCCGAAAACGGTCTGCTTTGCCAGCTACGAGCTGTTGGTGATGATTATCATGGAGCTCTTACCTGGAGGGATTGGAGTATGCGGACGATATTGCACTACTTGGTTCAGATCACATCCAAACATAAAATGTATTGAATGATCTAAATAACGTTGCCATGAATTTACATATGTGCTTTACACCTTCGAAGTGCAGCATGCTATTACAGGATTGGGCGAGTAGATCACCAAAGCCGGTCATGGCATCAGAACCATTGGAGATAACGGATAGATGTACCTATATATTCGCTTTTTGTCGCGAA